ATAGGGAAGACTCCATTCTGGGTCTTTGCGAAACCCTTTCTAGGTGCTAACACCTTCACTCCTTCTGTCTTTCACCTGTGAGAGATAGCAAAGAGATGCCATGCTTTCCCATACCCTCCAACATTTCTCCGATGAAAACAGGGACATCCCATTCCATCATGATAATTTTGCTATTTATACCCCCACACATTTAACTGGGTTGCCCCAGCCACTCTGGGCAGCTTCCAACATATATAAAAGTATAATAAAACATTAAACACTTAAAAACAACAAGACAACCCTATACAGGATTGCATTCAGATGGCTTGGGGGTCGGAGAACTCCATACCCTCCAACATTTCTCCAATGAAAATAGGGACATCCTAAGGAAAACCAGACATCCCGGTCAGAAACCAGGGTGGCTTCTTTAAATCAGGGATGTCCCTGGAAAACAGGGACGCTTGGAGGGTCTGGGATGCCATCAGCACAGATGTAAACCTAACAAGAGTTACCTGGGCAGAACCCTGACTCCAAGGTGCTTACAATCTGCAATAGGCAGCGGTAAAAAGGGGAAGATACCCCCCAAAAAAACACCCCAGTTAAAGTACATTCAGTCACTTCACCCAAAGAAAAGCGGGACATTCTGGAATCAAATCAGGGATGTCCCTGGAAAATAGGGACACTTGGTGGGTCTGGTTTCCAGGTGTGCTTCTTGATATAGAAGGAGCTAATAGCCCCATCTGGATGCTTTCAAGCCTCCATGTGATTAGAATCACATGAAGAATGAGGAAACAGCTGCCCCATTGTCATCCTCCATCAGTTGGTGATGAACGTCTGCCATGGGAACTTGCTCTACTCCTACATATTTCGAAACCCTAAATTGTGCAGCGAGCCTGCTGAGACACTCCATTTCAGAAGTTTATCCACCCCTTATGAGTTGCCATCTTCCTAGGAAAAGAGGTGCTGGAACTCACGTCCCTTGTTTCTCTTAATAATGGCAATGACTTCCACCTGAGAGGGGCTAGAACCAAGTTCCCCTGAGTTATGGCTGGGCAGGAGGGAGCCCTGCCCCTCATCACTTGAAGGATGCCAGAATAGGCCTGAGCATCTGGCTCAGGTGCGGATGACCTTTGCCTCACCTGATTTTGCTGAACTAGAAACTGCCATGTAAGAAGGGGCTCAGATGATGTTCTTACAGTCCAGGCAAGTTCATGAGGGGAAAGGCAGGCGTGGATATATTTAGCAATGGCAGCCCACCAAGAGCTTGATAAATTTAATTTTCCAACTGCCGGGACTGCAGAAAACGGAGCTTGTCAAGCATGCAAAGGTCCACAATGTATGCTGGTTTGCTGTCTTCAGGTTGGCGAGTTACAAGCTGTTGTTGGCCTGCGCATTGAACAGGGATCAACATACTTATGACTCCATATACTACATATTCAGATTTAGGCACTCTACTGTTTTCATTAGAACAGGAGCAGATACAGTGGTACCTCGGGTTAAGTACTTAATTCGTTCCGGAGGTCCGTTCTTAACCTGAAACTGTTCTTAACCTGGGCCTCCCACTGCCGCTGCACCACTGGAGCACAATTTCTGTTCTCATCCTGAAGCAAAGTTCTTAACCCAAAGTAATATTTCTGGGTTAGCGGAGTCTGTAACCTGAAGCAGATGTAACCTGAAGCGTATGTAACCTGAGGTACCACTGTACTGTGAAACAAACATCTCCTACATAGGTTATGTAGGGTTTCTTTTTCTTTTTTTAATAGCAGTGAGGTTTTGGGTTTGGATGTTTAATTTTAATATCAATGTACCTAGGTGCCGACATTATAAAGGATGACGGAATCTACTCGAGATATTTCACATCGTTCAAAGTAAATGGTCGACACAACCTAAAAGTGCGGGTCCAGGGGCAAGGCAAGACTGGCAGAAGGATCCGTAGGCAAAGTCAAGCTTTCTTTGCACCAGGGTTTGTAAATAATGGTAAGGATTTGTTACGAAATAGCAATACTGGTGGTATGCTAGCTCTGCGATTCTCAAAGTGTGAATGACACTGGGCATCTCCAGAAG